TTGCAGGCCCAATTCTGGGACGTGAGCTTGTGACCGCTTGAGAAATTTCTTTTTCTTTTTAAATCTTAGATTTGTGTTCCCTCGATTTCTACTTTGTTGTCCCTTGGTTTGTCCCTGATGATCATTTGAAGGCCCAAACCAGGCCACGTTTTTGTATTTGTGGCCCTTTACAGTTTTTTTGGTTGATCTTTAACAGCTAGTCTCCGCTTCCGGCCTTCCGTTTCCTGGAACTCACGTGCAAAAGCAAAGTAATAATGCAGATCTTTTGGAAGTCAGCTGATGGGGCCATACACAGTGTGTGCCCCAAGCTCTGCACACACATCTTGCTTGTTGTTTGTCCAACAACAAACGTTCCCTTTCCCTCCAAGCTGAATATTACTGCTCTCTCTTGGATGGATAATAGTAGTTTGCACATGTTCTCTAAGCACCAGAAAAACATTTCAGAAGCACAGTGTAATCCTGCCAACAGCCCTCCAGGCTGATGCCACCTCTTCATAAACGGGAAGTGCGGTGGCTGAGAAGGCAGCTTCACTGAGTCAAGATCACCTAGCAGGAAGGTGATGTGAGACCTGCCTGAGCCCTTCCACCAGGCTGGATAGCTTTTCATCGTCTCCATGTACTTAAATTGCACCTATTTAAAGTATATAACACCTAAGGAGTTTTGATGGGTATACACCCACAATTACAGTTTGTTCCTGTTTCCTTGGTGAGTAGGATTCCCTTGAATGGCTCTATCACAGTTGTCTAGTTATTGATAGTTGGACATTCGGCCTTCTAGATATTAATAGCTGCCATGCATAATCATGTAGAAATCTTTGGGTGGATACATCTTTTATTTCTCTTAGGCAAATACAGAAGAGTTGATGACCAGGTGATATGCTTGGTGAATGGCATAGGTTCCCAAACTTATTTGACTTATCACGTGTTTTCAGAAAAAAACACCCCCTCCCCCCTCGGCAATTAAAAATGTTTGTACTATAGCCCATAAGCCAGAATAAAGTATCTGTTTTGGGAGCCTCCCCTAGATCGATCCTGTACATCCGGATGGCGGGGTGGGGGGTAGTATCACCCTCTTTGGGAAACACTGGTGTGCAGTTAGCATTTTAAGGTGCTGCCTATTTCCGACAATCCTTGTCCCATTCCCACCAGATGTGTTCTAGTTACTGCACAGCCTCACACACACTCGGTGTGGCCCGTCTTTTTTATTTTAGCCACTCTAGCAAGCATGTCGGAGCCTTGGTGGTGTAGTGGGTTACATATTGGACTGCTAACTGCAAGGTCAGTAGTTCAAAACTACCAGCCGCTCCATAGGAGAAAGATGAGGCTTTCTACTCTGGTAAGGAGTTTCAGCCTTAGGAACCCAAAGGGGCAGTGACACCTGTCCTTTCGGGTCCTGTGAGTCAGAACCGACTCAATGGCAGTGAGTACGGTTTTGGGTTGGAGCAAGCTTGTAATGGGGCCTCAGTATGGTTTTCGTTTGTATTTCCCTGGTGACTAATTAATGTTGAGCATCTCTTTATTTGCTTACTTGCCATTCACATGTCTTTTTTAGAAAAATAGCTGGTCAGAATTTTTTCCATTTTTGGCCTATTTTTTAATTGATTAGAGAGTTCTTTATATTTTATAGATGTAATATATTGCCCCATATATGTTTTATCAATTTATTTCTTCCAAGTATCCTTTTCTGTTTGAGTGAGCATGGCCAATTTGTCTATTTCATGTGAGTTGTCAGATTTATAGGCTTGAAGTTATTTATGATATTCCCTTATTATCCTTTTAGTATGTGTTAAAGTAGTGAGACATTCTCTCTTGTTCCTCATGTTAATTTGTGTCCCTCCTCCCTCCATTGCTAGAGGTTTATCGATTGCATTGATTTTTCTCAAGGAACTAGTTTTTGTTTTCATTCATTTTTCTCAACTATTTTTCTGTTTGGTTTTTATGTTATCATTACTTATCTCAGCGCTTTTTATCTGATCCTCATTATTTCATTCTTCTGACTACTTTCTGTGTGATTTGCTGTTTTTCTGCTTTCTAGAGATGGAAAAATTAAGATCATTGCTTTGAGATCTTAATTTCTGATACTTGTTTAATATTACTTAAAACAACAACTGCCATCGACGGAACTCTGGCTCATAGCAACCTACAGGCAGAGTAGAACTGCCCCCTGGGGTTTCTGAGACTGATCTTTGTGGGAGGAGAGCCTCGGCTCCCTCCCTCAGAGGGCAGGTGGAGTCAGACTGCTGGGCCTGTGTTAGTAGCTCAGCTCAGTACCCACTAGGCCCCCAGGGCTCCATTTAATACCATGACGCCCCCTCTAATGACTGCATGAACGACCTCCCACACATTCTGATAGGCTGTCAGGGACCCACAGTTTGACCCTTAACCCCCAGGGTCAGAATCCACACAAACGCAGTGAGACTGGTTTGGAGTTATCACTTCCATCCAGTTCAAAATAGTTTCTAATTTCTCTTTTGATTTCATCTTTGACCCACAAGTTGTTCTAAAACGCGTTTCCAAATATTTAGGCGTTTTCCAATACATGATTGATTTCTACTTTAATTCCATTGTGTTTAAAGAATGTGCTTTCGGTGCTTTCAGTCCTTCCCAAGGGACTGAGCTTTGGTTTGGGCCCAGAAGACAGTCTGTTTGGTGAAAAGACTGCGTGCACTTGAAAAGAAGATGTGTTCTGCTCTGGTTGATGGCGAGTCTATAAATGTCTCGATTTGATAACGCTTGTGCTAGCGTTGTGAGGGCCTCCGTGTCCTTAGCACACTTTCTGACGACGTGTGCTGTCCGTTAGGAGCCCTGGCGCGAGAGTGGCGGCTCCAATTCACCAGCTGCTTTAAGATCGCAGGATGGCAGTCACACAACCTGTTTGAACCATCATTCACACTGAATCCTATGATCGAATCAATATCTTCCCCCACCTTCTTACAAGACCCATCAGAAACCGTTACTTGGTGGGAGTAATAAAGGCTAGGGCTAGGGAAGCCACATGCAATAATTCCCTGCACGGCAGCCTTACTCCCTGTGTTCACATCCTCCACTGAGCGCACCGCCACTGTAGTGGTTAGCCTTTCTCAGTGTGGCCATCCTTTGCACGTCTTTCTTGCCATTGGACTAAGTTGCTCAAAAGCCTCACCTGTGTCTTGTCTCTATATCATTAACATTATATCTAGGTCCTGTTAGGTACCCCATAAATACTGGATGAGAGAGCAAATGAACCAAGAAAAGCCTGCACGGGACCTATGTCCATGGCCAAAGGGCTTTTATTGTATAACACTGAGCAAATGAAAACTATAGCAGAGAAACCTTCCCCTACTTGAGAGGGCTCACTTTAGCAGACTGGGGAGCTCTAACTGTCTAACTCTCAGTCATCCATGCCCCCCGGCCACCGCCCCCCCCCACTATATTGAGGCTAGCATTCACACTGGTCCTGACGTGATCGACAGCCTGGCGAACCCAGACAAGACTAAGATAAACTGCTTGTCCTCCAGTAGAATAAATATTTCAAATAAAGTCAACCCAAGAAAGCCAGGCCAAACAGCTATTGATTGTGGAAAGCTTGAACCTAAGCCCAATGAATATTCCAAAGTTCACCTCCATGCAGCTTGCCTAAATGGTGATCAATATGCAATTACTGCCCCCCTTTAAATGGGTCTCCTGCTGCCTACCCGAAGAAGGGTGTGCTTCTAAAATCTTTTGTTTGTTGAATTTGCTTAGGAAGGAAAAAAGAGAGAGAGAGAGAGAGAGAGAGAGAGAGATGGCTACGGCAGTATCTTTTGTATTGCGGGCAGTTCTGTGTAATTTGTGAAATGGTGGGAATGTATGCCGAGTGGCAACTGAAGGTGCTGCTTGGGATGACCGCCATTCCTTTCAGCACGGCTCCCCGCGTGACTGAACGAGGAGGACATCGGTCCCCCGTTCCCTAAGTTCTGCCCACGTGACCGTCTGCCCGACTCATAGCCTGTGTGTAGCCAAGCTTGTAAAGCAGGATGCTAATGCCCAGCTGCCGTGAAAACAAAAAGATGGTTTTGGTCCAGGTTTGAGTTTCATCTCAATGCAAAACAAAACAACAACAACAAAAAAAAACCACCACCTCTTTCCTGCCGAATCGGAAACTTTGTTTTTACCCAGCCCCTGATATCGAAGATCTTGCATGATTTTCATAGACACCGTTTTCAGAGCAGTCCTCCTCAGCCGTCTCCCGTAAAGCTAGAGCCCAGCAGCCCTCCGCAGGGCTGCTGCGAGATGAATGGGCTCGGATGGCAGTGGTGTGGGTGTGGGTGTGGGTCCCAGTCACAGCCTGGGGAGCCGTAGGTGGGGTTGCTATGAATTGGAATCGCCTCAGTGGCACCGAGGCACTCTGCACCTATGAAGATTGTTACAGCCTAGAGACCCCGTGGGGCAGTTCCACCCTGTCCTGTAGGGGCGCTGTGAGTCGGAAAGGACCTGGAGCGGCAGTGGTGGTGGTGGTGGTGGTGGTGGTGGTGGTTTGGAACGCTTCCCGCAGTTGGACATTTAAGTTGGGTTGTTTCCTCTTTTCCACCCGCCCCCCACCTTTTTTTTAATTGAGTACAAAAGTGAAATTGCTTTATTATTTATTTGGTTGGTTTTTGTTTATGATAAGAAATCCCCAGGGTGGAATGGGGTGACATGGCATGATTTTTTTTAAGTTCCTAATACAAATGTTTGTATTTAAGAAAATTTAGATCAGCTTCTCTCTCAGCCTTGCAAGAGGAATGACTTTCACCCTGTCTTAATAATGATGTTTTTTATTTTGTAGCCCCCTAAGGAATACTCTTTTTTTAAATAACAATATTGGGTTTTTGTTGTTGTTTTCTGTTGTTATTGATTTTGCTTTTCTACCTGGTTGCTATCTAATATCTTAAGAGGCATTTGTCAGGGAAGGCACCTCTTAGCCCGCCTGTCTGAGGGGAACTACCTGTAACTGCACTTGTCCCAGTGAGACACCTCAGATGAGCCCTCTGTGTCCCCAGGGAAAAGAAGATTTCCAGGAGCAGTGCCCTGAAAGTGCTGGACCACGCCATGATTGGCCCCGAGGGCACGGACAATTGCCACAAGTTTGTGGACATCCTTGGTTTGCGCACCATCTTTCCCCTGTTCATGAAATCTCCCCGGAAGATCAAGAAAGTGGGGACCACGGAGAAGGAGCACGAAGGTAAGGTCCCGAGGAGAGGCCACTGGGTGGAGGCACAGGGTGCCAGGTGGTGGAAAGGAGCTATTTGGAACAAAACAGAACTGCTTTGGGGTGCATTTGCCGAGGGGGAGCCCCGGGGAGGAAGAGCACTTTCCTCTCTCCTGGTTTTCAACCCAGAGCCCCCAGGGCCCAGAGGACTGTTGTCCTGCTGGCTGTCCATCCCCTTGAATCTTGGTGGTGTCATTTCCCTCTGGCCTGTTAATAAGCCTGTGTGTGAGGGTTTTGTTTTCTCGGCTGTAATTTGTAGTGAGATGTCTCTCTGATGGAAGACCCTTTTGAAAAGAGTAATGAGGTGGCAGCACCTGTCACCTCCAGAGCGGCGCTTTCATGTATTTCTGTATTAAAGTATGATTCAGCCAACATCAGGAACTGCCGGAATAAACTATTTACAGCCTAGGTTCCCCCTTTTATGGGTCTCCTCCCTGATGGCGCACACTCCCTGCAAAACACGCCCATGAATTGCAATGCGGTTGCCAGGGTCGTTACTGCCAGGCCAGTCTCTCCCTGCTGGTGTCTAGCGGCCTGCTGCGTCCCACCCCCAACAAAGAGCCACCGTGCCGCACATCTGGGCAGCCAGCAATTTATGGGCCCTGACAGGTCTGCCGGAAGCAGATGCTCAGAGCTACATGCACCAGGGAATTTACATGGTTGGGTGGTTTCTTAGAGTCAGGGGGAGGGGCCAGGAGGGGAGAACCTAGCTGATGGGCTGACGGATTCGGTCCTCTCAGTGGAGAAGCATTTGTCCTGTGGTTTGGGTCGGTAATTGGGAGAGTGGGCCAACGGGGTCTCTGGGATCTTTCGCCCTCCTAGATCAAACTTGGAGATCGGGTCCACTCCCCAGCGACAGCAGAAAGCCTGGCAGGGGCAGAGGAGGAGCCAGCCTTGGACAGGATTATGGACTAGTGATCTACGGGCAAACAGAGTCCGGGCCACCTCAGATCAGATCCTGACCGGACAGCAACCACATCACGGTGTCCCATTGCTGCTCTGGTTTCTGTTGCCATGGGAGGGATTGGAGCATTCATGGAGATCTAGGAGAGGGGTTTTGGGGATAGTCACCGTTCACTGAGAACCGGCCACATCCTCTGCACAACTGCATTGTGTGCCATCTTCTGTAGGTGCCGCCCCCTCTGCAGGCGGTGGCAGTGGTCACCTTGTTCTTTGAGGTGAGGGTCTCAGCCAAGAAAGGAGCCAAGCTGTGGCTCTACAGCAGACTAGCTGTGGGCCCTTAGTGTAGCTGCGTGGTTTCCTACCTGGCTTGTAAAACCAGGCAGGTGGGCCAGTAACTGGAAGGGCTGATAGCTGTCACTTTCCGTTCTGAGGTCCAGGCACCAGTCGTCAGTGCTGTGCCCTCTAATCCAGGAAACTCCTCCAGGACTATGCTGGGGCTGACCTGCTGGGTCCCATGAGGAGACTCGATTCTGCCTCTTAAACACGCTTGGAGAAAAAATGTAAAAGAAAGCGACCCTTAGCCAGCTCTTGCCCCATCCATGGTGCTAAGAAGAAGTGACAGATTCAGCAAGCAGCTGTTTTGCTTCTGAAAGATGTGCCCGGTGGCGTGCTGGTAACAGTACATTTGCTTTAGAGCACCCGCATTAGGCATTTGATAACATTGTGTTAGTGAGGGCAATGGCTTGGTAAGACGGTTCCTAGAAGGCGCGTTTAGGCTGGGATGGTGGCGAGGATGAGCTCTACATCTTGGATACTTGGCCTCCAGAGAGCGAAATGAAGTCCACAGGGACAGCCCAGCCCCCAGCCTCTCCCATCCCTGCCAACCCTTCGTTCCTGGCAAGCTGGCCCTTCGGCCTGGAATGGCAGGTGAGAAAGAATGAGGCAGAGCAGGCCAAGGGCACATTGTGCAAGCTTTCTTGGTCCTGTCTTGTCCTCTAGGGGAGCCTGGTGTTCTCTCTTGCCCTCCAGGTGCTGGACCTTCTGACCTGGAGGGACTTGGTTCGTGTGTTACAGTAGAGGGTGTAGAGCCTGACACCACCCAGACTGGGTACAAACCTGCCCAGCCATTCCTGCCCTGCTTTCACCATGCTTCCCTTCACTGCAGCCTGGGGAAGCACATAGTGAGGATACACGGAGGCAACCACTGCCTTTGAGGCCATTCCAGCTCTTAGCAACCCCTACAGGACAAAGTAGGAACTGCACCAGAGGGCTACCCAGACGAACTCAAACAGCCCTGTCTTTCCCTCAGGGAGCAGCAGGTGAGTTTGAACTGCTGGCCTTGATAGCAGCCTGGCCACTTAATCCACTGTGCCACCAAGGCTGCTTTCAGACTAGGATTAGAGCCTCCTATTTCAGGACTCTAGGCTTCAGGGCTTTGTCTCTGTAGCCTTTAAAATCACAGTACGTAAATGGCTGTTTGTGTGGTCGGCTTTTCAATGTCTGGCATTCCTAGGAGAATGAATTCCCTGAGAGAAGGAACCAATGGCTAGTCACCTGTGGGTGCCAGCACCCACCACAATGCCTGGCATCTGCTAGAGGCACAGTAAGTGTTTACTGGCTTTATTGAAGACAGGCATGGGTTTGGGGCTCTCCCCTAGCCCTGAAAGCCTACACTTCCCAGTTTTGATTGATGCCTGTCAGTCGTGCGCCTGGAATAAGTGATCTCAGGCTGGTTTGTTTGTAAGCAGAAGCAAGTGGATTGCTAGCCATAAGTCTTGGTGACTTTGACTTAGAGATTGTAGCAGGAGCATCCCCTTAGAGTTGGGCCCATAAGACCCGTGGATCTCACTACCCAGTCCTTTTACTGCTGTCAAGTCCTTTTGCCTCCTAATTCATATGTCCTGTTAATGAAGGATGCCCCTTCCTCGCCAAGCACGAGCATGAGCATCTTAAACACATCGAGGCCGCCTCTTGATGTTCCCTTTGCCCTCATCTCAACCCATCCCAACTCAGGGCATACCGCAGGCCCCTGTTGCAGCAATGTAACCTAGCGAGTTACAGACAGGGGGTGGGGTGGGGTGCTGCTGCTTATACACTGTGTGCTCTTGGGCAAGTCCCGAAACTCAGCCTTTGCTGCCCAGCTGCAAAATTAGTAAAGCCAGATTCGACCACACAGAGTGGTTGTGAGATACGAATGCTTAGCACAGACCCCAGAAGACCTCAGACTCTTCTCTACCAAACCACTCTTCAGTCCTGTCCACCCTGCCCTTAGTCAGCGCATCCTTCTAGCAGGTTCTTGGGAAGGCCGGGCAGAGAGGTGGCCCGTGCCGGGCCTGGTATGTAAGTGTTCCTTGAAAATGAAGCACCACCGTTTCTTCCTGGGAAGGTCAGGAGCCATGATTAGCTCCGTAGTGAGCTGGGACCAAAGCAGCTGCATTCCCAAAACCTGCTAAGGGGAGTGAGAGTGGGGAAATTCTAGAGGAGGGTGGCCCTGGAGGGGAGGGAAAAAGCAAAACCAGCCCTTATTATAGCCTAGAATTGCTTATAATTTAGTCCTTCTTTTGTGAGTTAGCAAAGAGAAAAAGAATGATTGTAATTGAAATCCATTCAGGTTTGCATAATAAAACCTGCAGAAATAGATCAGGGGAGGTGCTTAGCTTGGGGGATGGGTTGGAAAGAAATCATTTGCCCTTGGGTGCAATCTTCCGATTGGCCGCCTCCTTGATTGTATAAGGAATGCCACCGGAATTCATTGTCTCCCTGGTGTTAACTGCTTCTGAAGTGGAGAGAAGAACAGCGCTGGGATCCAGGAATGGCATTTGACCTTTATTTCTTGTCTCTTTATAAAATTCTTATTAAAAGAGGTCCAATTTTCCTTGGATTGCTTCATTAGGTAGGTGAGTTATTGAGTTTGTAGCAGTTCTCGTTAATTGCGCTGTTTTAACATGGTTCCCCGGAGGCTGTTCGGAGTTTTCAGGGGTGACTTAGCACATGGATGTAGGCCGGCGTGTGCGAGCTGGGCCTTCGCACACGTTTGTGATCTCATCGACAGTGACAGAAGTTGATAGCAGGTCACTACTTTAAAGACTACTTTCATGTCACCTGAAAAGATTCGTAAGTGAAGCTGCCTCTTGGACTCTTGACTAGGGCGGGCCCCGCCCGAAGCTCCCACCTTTCAGGGGAGCGGGAGGGAAATGACAAGCCCCTAACTGCGGTCAGAACTGAAAGGAGATGTTTGGACTGTGCTAATGCCGGTGACAGGCAAACCTTACAAAGAGCACCTATGTGACGAGCCCCAGGAAACAAAACAAAGTGCAGATGTGTTCCTTCAGCTATCAGAATAAAGAACAGGATGTAATACCTACTTAAGACGGCAGCGCCTACCTTCCTCTGACTGCACAGAGGGAGAGGAGAATCACAGCCAACAATCCAAAGTCGATAGCTAAGCTAAGCGGAAGCGATCAGAGATGCCCCAGTCCTCCAATAGTCTTTATCAAATCGGACCGGGCCAGTGCCTCCCACAGCACTCTCGCTGCTCCTGGACTTACACTTTGTTGCAGTGGTCACGGCAGAACTTGCAGACAATATTCACAAATCAGGGGTTTATTAAAGAAGTTAACGGATTACTGTTCAGGATCAGAAATGCTCAGGATACAGTCCTTCGGTCAGGACCACCTCTTCTCAGTGGTGCGCGTGCAGTCCTCGCCTCTCAGCCACAGGCCTGTTCGCCCTGCTTGGGCTGAGGACTCAGACATTATTAGAAGTCATACTATCCTAAAGATTGTAAATGCCTAGGGATGCAAGAGAGCTTAAGAAACGAGATAGCATTTGAAGGTTGGCAATCTTATGCCAATGAGGGGAGCGGGAGAGAACACAGTGTGGTTACACCAAGGTCAATTGGCATAGTTCAAAAAGACAGTGTTCTACATCCATCCTACTGTGCTGAGTCATGATGGGGGGTCTTAAAAGCATATGAGCAGCTATCTGAGGCACCCCCCCCATCCAGAGGGAAGAAGAATAATTAAAATCTAAAGACACGTGGTGGAAACAATTAGCCCAATGGACTAATG